TTGTACTTGCTTGTGTTTATATGAAATCAATCTATCAACAAAATGTGTAGGATCCTTATATGTTGCCACATGGCAGAATTATTAGGTCTAAAATAATCTGTGGTATAATTTTGACAAAAATATCTGTACCTGTAGTACAGGAAGCATGTTTGAAGAAAATGGAAACGCTGAAAATTTAGAAAATTGTATACTAATATATGTTTATCGTACAATAGTTTCTATAATCTATAATACCAGTAGTTGTAATCTTCCAACACCTGCAGTGCAATATTTCTTTGTTGCACTCTGATTCTGTATTAATTAAACTGTCATTTTAATATCACATTTTGACAGAGTTTACAAAGGCAACTGTACACTGTATAAATATTCTTTGAAATATTACTTGTATTCACTGATGTGAAAATGTTGATATAGGTGCAAAGGTAACAGTAAACCACATTGTTTACTAATTGAATGGTGATGACATGCTCGTACCATTAACATTACAGTACCTTCATTTTATTAACTTTACATATAAATGAAGTTTCTGCACAATTAAATACTCTATAGACTGAAACTGCCATTCTGGTACTTTTAAATTGAAAACTTAGTTAACCATGACAACATTTAAAATTACCTTTTGTGAAATATTGCTTTCTAATATTCAGTTTGAAACTTAAGACTGTGAACAGCTTGTTTATTGATTGAAATACTAGTAATAACAGTACTGCAGATATAACATTGACTATTGACATTTTTGTTCTGGTACAATTCAGTTATAGTAATGTCAATCTACTACTGGTAGTTCTTAATTTCTCTCTTGTATAACTCATTAAGATACTGAGTATAGGAGTTTTTTGTTAAGGTCTCCTCTCTCCTGGGAGATATGTACCGGTATTATAAAACACTAATCAGTTTTTAGCTCCGCTGTCGTCGCTGTCGTCGAGCGGAGCTTATCATATGAGTGATTGTCCATCGTCGTCCGTGTCAATGTTTTACTTTTTTGACTTCTTCTTGAAAACTACAAGCCTGAATGCTTTGATACTTGGTGTATATGTACCTTGGGTAGACCTCTCTTAGGTTTGTTCATTTCATGTTGATATCTTCAATTCTCTAATTTTGGTGAATATTTTTGTCATTTTTGGTAAAAAGTGATATTTTTGACTTCTTGTTAAAAACCGCAAGTGCAATTGTTTTGATATTACATATATAGGTACTACATGTGGACCTTTCTCAGATTTGTTCATTTTGTAATGATATCTTCAATTCTCTAATTTTGGTGAATATTTTTGTCATTTTTGGTAAAAAGTGATATTTTCGACTTCTTGTTGAAAACTGTAAGTCCGATTGCTTTGATATTCCATATATAGGTACTACATGTGGACCTCTCTCAGATTTGTTCGTTTTGTGATGATATCTTCAATTCTCTAATTAATTTATTTTGGTGAATATTTTTGTAATTTTTGGTAAAAAGTGATATTTTCGACTTCTTGTTAAAAACTGTAAGTCCGATTGCTTTGATACTATTCATATTGTTCATTTTCTAATGATGTCTTCAGTTCTTTAATTGAAATGTGCATTGCTAACAGCGGAGCTATCTCAGCCGATAGGCTGCTTGTTGTCATTTTTGGTAAAAAGTGATATTTTCGACTTCTTGTTAAAAACTGTAAGTCCGATTGCTTTGATACTATTCATATTGTTCATTTTCTAATGATGTCTTCAGTTCTTTAATTGAAATGTGCATTGCTAACAGCGGAGCTATCTCAGCCGATAGGCTGCTTGTTGTCATTTTTGGTAAAAAGTGATATTTTCGACTTCTTAACCGCAAGTCC